TTGAATCAGCTGTTCCTCCAGATGCCAACAGGGACTTCCACTGCCTAGCCCCAAACAGGGTGCACCAGGTGGGGTGGGCAGATTTTGAAACCATAGGCTTCGATTCCAAGCAGGAAGGGACCCTCCATCTACAGAACATAATGTTTCTGATTCCAGCATATAACCATTTCTTCCTCCCCAACTCAGCCTTGTATCCTACCTATAAAATGCTCAGCAAGAATTTGTGGAATGAAAAAGTGCCATACACGGGTTCCCTTCTGAAAAGAACAGAAAGGAAAGGGTCTACGGACCACGAGATCACTCAACAGGAAACTCATGCATTTGGAGAAAAATAAATAAATAAGGCAAAGGCTGAATGCTAATGACCCTTAGATAAATCACACTTGATTTGAAGGTCAAGAGCATTACAATGTCCCGCTTTACGAAGGTGCACAAAGGCTGAAGCTTTGAGGAAGGGAGAAGAATTTGCAGGGTATAATTATGCACCCCCTAAGCGTCCCTGCCTGCTTTCCACACGCGATGTGAAACAATGTGTCACAGTCCCATACGGTCAAAGCGGTAATTTACAAGAGTCAGCAATTCCGCAGGGCAGGTAGGCCATATTTCAAAACGGGAAAGGGAGTTGGGGGAAGCAGGGGGAGCCAACCGATCAATTTACAAAGATCCTGCTTCTCTGCCACTCTGCCGACCTTTCAGGCAAGACCCAATGCCAATTAGCTCAGTTATAAAGTCCATAATTCTTGTGGGGAAGGCCGTGTGTAGCACATGATCATTTTACAACGTTTGCCCTAATTTGCAGCCCCCAAACATGGACTCCTGGGGCTGCGAGGGGATGCTGGGGTTGTTGGCAAGAGTCAGGAGCAGCTGGAAGGGATCACAGAGCACAATTACTGTCTGCGCATGGCCACATCTGGAAAACAGCTCCGAGCTGGCTTTAAAATAGCATTAATGAAGAATGGAACTTTGTGCTGGGAAGGACGGGGTGGGGGGAGGTGATGGGGGAAATAAGAGGGTGCCCCCTGCCCAACATGGCAGGAATGAAAAGACAACAAAGAAATCAGCAGGCAGGGTGTAAGACCAAATCCAGGGAGAAAAGGATGTTGACAAGAGAGGGGCGATGGAGAATCTGGTACTTTAGGGTGATATCTCTAAACTCCCCATTTCCTGTCGTCTTGAAACCCGGGGCGTCTGTTCAGGGCTGGCCCTCTATACACTGGTTGAGTAGACATTTGTCTACGATGTGAGATTTTAGTAGTCTCTGGGCAATTTCCAACTGAAAGAATATAGATCACCAGTACCTAATTCTAAGCATTCAGTTCTTTGGTCAGAGGCTCCTTTTTCCTGAGATGGATTTGAAAGTGCGAATGTGCCTGGAGCCTTTCTGATACCCAGCACATAGTAGTTACTCAATAAATACTCACTAACTAGGACCAAATTGAATGAGTCATTTTGTGACTATGATCAAATTCATTCATTCATTCATATTTCTGATTTCTCAGCTGCAATGTTTGCACTAGGCTGGTGACAGCAATTGCAAGGTCAGACAGAAAGGGTGGCATGTCCTTCTAAGGGGTGTGTCAAGATTCTATGAGGCATTCATTGAGAAAAGGGAACATTCATTATTTAGAAATTCAATAGTATAATGTAGTTTCATATTTGAAAGAGTCTGCCTTTGACTTCCGTGATACCATCTACAGAAAGAAAAACTGAACAGATTCTTCTTGGTTACGTGAATATTCAGAAACTGACCCAATTCAAAATGGACACTTCCTATCTCATCAAAATTCCGGCCATCTCTGAATCTCTAGAGGTAGTAGGAAAAAAATTATTTTATTATGGGTAGAAAAGAGTCAAGAAACTGAGTAAAGGATTGGAGGGCTCAAGTGCCAATCTTCTCCATTTGGCTGTTTTGTGTCCCTTTATCATGACAGATCAGCCACTTGAGTCCCCAAAGGCTAGGGTACCATTAAAGGGACAGCCAAGACAAATTGCAAAGAAAACAAGGATTCAGAGGTATAAACCATCCTCACCCTCTTACTCTAGGCTGATTATTTGCCTGCCTAATACCACATTTTGGTGTTGCACAGGGTGGCCCACTGTCTTAATCCATGCAGACTTCCATAACAAATTACCAGAGTCCAAGTGGCTTATAAATAAAATAAATTTATTTCTCACAGTTCTGGAGGCTGAAAGTCTGAGGTCAAGGGTGCCAGCATGGTTGGATTCTAGAGAGGGCCTTTTCTGGGTTTCAGATGCAACTTCTCCTTGTTAAAACCTCACTTGATGAAAGGGGCAAGATAGCTATTTAGTGTCCCTTTTATGAGAGCACTAATCCCATTCATGAGAGGACCTCCCTCCTGACCTAATCATCTCTCTAAAGCCCCTCATCATCAATTTAAGGGGGTTGAGATATTAACATGAATTTGGGGGACACTGGCATTCAGTCCCCAGGACCCACCTTATTGTGTTTCAGTGTTTGCCTAAAAACCCCAGAGACCACATCATAGGCCTGTAGAGATAAAAGGAGCCTTTTACACTCTTGCCCCAAAGGAGAAATTTTCTCATTAGTGTTCCTGACAGACCTCCCTCCCTGCGCTGTTTAGATTCCTCCAGCAGAGCATAGAGAGAAAGGCCTTCAAGCAGACCTGAGTTCAAGTCTTACCTTGGTCACCTACCAGCTAAGTGATCATGAGCAATTTACTTAATCATTCCTTATCTTGGTTTCCTTTTCTGCAAAATGAAGATAATGCTAAGTACCGAAATCATGGAATCCATGTAAAGATTAAACAAGATAATGTGTGTTATTATATTTTCTAGGTGCTTTAGAATTCCGTATTGATATTTGTGCAATATGATTTTTATATACGTACCTATGACCTTGCATGCAATCCATATACAGTTAGATTCAAAAATGAGTTGGGTGTGCGATCCAAAAGTGATGTTGGCAGTTGTTTGTAACATAGAGGGGCACACTGGTAGCACACCACCCATGGGAGCACACTGGGAGCACACCACCCATGCTACTATTGCCAGCATTAAGTATAAAAACTTCATGCACATGAGAGATCTTTAGGATACTCTTACAAAAAGAAAGCATTTCCATGTATTTCAAATAAATGCAAAATAACATATCAAACCTGAGTTTAGACAGCTTTCTGCTACAATAGACTATGACATCGGGCCTGCACCTGCAAGTGCTCAGGAAAGTGTAGGTGACAGCAGGCAGGCTCTTTGCTTGCTGTGCAGTCCTCAAGGACTGGGAAACCAGTACTCTCTACATTCTTAGGTGTTTAATATTTTTCATGTTTAATTGACTCATAATAATTGTACCTATTTGTGGGGTCCAGTGTGACATTTCAGCATATGTATACAACATGTAATGATCAGATCAGGATAATTAGCATATCCATCACCCTTGTGTAGGAAACACTCCAACTCTTCTCTACTAGCTATTTTGAATTATATACTTAATTGTGGCCAGCCATGGTTCTCCTAAGGATTCTGTCTTCCCAACCCATCAACAGGGATGTCTAAGTTCCCTTCTGTGCCCAGTATTGTGCTAGCTAGAAAGACAGCACAGGGATTGCAAGCTAAATATACTCAATTCCCTGGCAGGGTTTTATTATAAAAGAAAAAAAACAAGGCACTTAAACTGCCACAGTGTGGGGCAGGAAGCACTGAAATCCCAGGGGTGGGGAGAGACACAGAGCACTCAGGAGGCAAGAAATGGCAGAGTGGGAAAAACCGAAAGGAGTAGTTGAAGTGGAACCTTTTAACTGAGCAAGAAGAACAATGTAGTAAACCCATCAGACTCCCAGAGGAACATGGGGTTAGATGCTGTTATTCTCATCTTTTCTGCTTAGCACCAAGATAGTCAACGTATGTCATTCGCTGACAGAGAGACACAAAGATAAGGCATTGTCCCTGTCACCAGGGTGGCTAGAGTCAAAAGAAGCCCTGCAGAGAACAGTACTGGGCAGGAAGGAGGGGGCAGGGAATGAGAGCTGGTAGGAGCACAGTCACCAGGAACAGAGACTTAAGCTAGGCAGAGGGTTCTATAGTTGAATATGTGCTATAAAAGCAGAAGCTGTAGTGAGGACATTCCACCAAATCAGGAATGAGCCAGATATATTTCAGGGACAGTAAGAAAGTCAACCAAGGTGAGTCAAAGGGCAAAGCACCTGTGTGTGGGGCCCACCATCATCCATAGGCAGCAGAAGATCCTGGAACTTTGCTCAGGGGTCTTCCTTCCTTCTCTACAGTACAGTCCAGCTTTGTCTGGGGATGCTCCTTGCAAGGGGTGACAACAAAACCAACAGCTGGTTTCCCCTGCCAGGGCTGCTGACCCCAGGCTGGGTGTTCCAAGGGCCCGATTTCAAGGTGCCATCCATCACCTCCTCCCACATTCTCCAACCTGCCTGAGGTCACCCAGCTGCGGCCCATTGCAGAGGAGGTGGGAATGGGTCCAGCCATGTGCTGTGCCAAGAGAACTCAGAGGCAGGTGGGCAGCCTACCATCTCTACCTCACTGACAAACTCACGACCTCACCAAGCACCAATGCCGAATGTTAACTGCCTTTTATTTGCACCAGATTTTTATAGTGGAAAGAAAAAAAAAAAACATCTAGAGGAATCAAAAACTCTTGGGTCCTACTCCCCATTCCCCTTCTTCCCACTCTGGCAGTAGCTCCCACTCTGGCAGTAGCCCCCACTATGAACTGCATGGATCTATTCCTCACCCCCATATTCATATATGCCTGTGTTCATATGGATCCATAGAACACTATGTAGTACTGGCTGGTGAGGTGCTGAGTTTAGGTAATTGCATTGTAACAAACATATTGTCTCAAACATTTCTGTCTCAGAGATTCAACTCCATTTCTTTATTTTAATGCTTTGTGACAAATCACTGTGTTTTCCTTTTTATTACTCATTCTTCATTGATGAACATTGTTCTCAGGTTTTGTTTTCTTTTTTTTTTTAATTTTTTCTGTCTAAAAATCATAGCACTGAGCTCCTTGTACCTGTACCTATTTCCTGAGGCAGACAATCCCTCCTGGTATAGAGAAAATGTCAAAATTCTCCATTCCTGCTCAAATGCAATTAGAAAGCTTTGGTGGGATGCAGAACCCCAAACTAAATGCACTGAATTATGCGAAGGGTGCATACAGAGGAGGTCCTACCTCTGTGGAACTGACAGTCCAGCAGGAGCGAGAAGCATGGTGTAAGGCTGTATATGGAAAGCTCTGGAGCAGTGTCCAGACAGCCCCCAACATAATTAAGAAAAGGTGCAGTTGATTTGAAGGAGGAAATCTGAAAGCAGATAGAGTAAGGGGAGAAACTACATGACTATGGGCTTTTCCAGGAAAGCTTCCCCAAAAGAACTCCATCTTGACAGGGGCCTCAAAGAAAATCTAGGAGTTAAGCGCTCAGGGGTAAGGGTTCAATGCCTAGGAGAGAGGGACATCCTGATGGGAGGAACAGCAGAAACAAGTGCCCCAGGGCAGGACTCGGCATGGAATGTGAGATGTCTGGTCTGGCTGGAGTGTCTGGCTGGGATGAACTTGGAACTATTCTTCCAAAGTTGAGCTCAGCCCCACATTCGGGATGATGTCCATGTGGCCTGTTGCCCCGGGCAGCAAGCCCGGGTGGTATTTTTCCATTACCCTGAGAGAAGAAGAAGTTCAGTCACTTGTTGATAGCAATGTGGCCATTCAAGGAGAAAACAATTAGGGATGCTGAGCCCTGGCCCCCAGAGAGGAGGGAGGGAAGGAAAAAATTCTCCCTGGGGGGAAGGGGCCCGGGTGGGAAACATCCAAGAGGGTAATTGGTAAATATTATTGTTTCATTCCCTGTTTGCCTGCTCTGCTCTGGTCCCCCTGCGAGTGGTGCATTTAAATCACACTGTCTGACTTTGGCAGGTTTAATTGAGTCGCCACTGAAAAAGAAATTATCCCTGTGCTATTAATTTTTATAGTTCCTCAGGGCTTTTAAAAAGTGTTTGGATTTTCTAGGTCTTTGAAAATGAAAACATTAAATTTTATTAAAAGGAAATGTAGGGGGGCTGGCAAGGCCCAGCCAGGCCCTGACAAGACGGTTTGTGGGAAGGTGGTTTGGGGCCCTTTGAGTCGGTGTAACAAAAAGTTTTTCCCTTGGTAGAATAAGAGGCAGGTGGTCTCCATGGATGTGTGATGTCAGCAAGAGCCACATTCCCCACTGGTTGTGGTGAGTGCTTCAACAATGCCACCCTGTTCCCATGTCCCCTGTGGTGGCAGCCACAGGCTAGCGTGCAGCTGGGAGAGAGAGTGGTGCTCTGTGCAGGCTGAGGAGACACAGGGCAGAACCAGTCTGTGAGGCCCGAAACTTTTACAAACTAGGGGGAATCTCCTGAAACACAAGAATTCAAAATTATGAATCCTAAATTATGTTTGAAAGTGGAATTTAACTAAGAAAGAGAAAAGTCACTACAAACTACACATTTTAAGCAGCCGACAAATCCCACAGGCAACACCCAATCTAGAACAACTAGCACATCTGTAATATTTTCCTTCTACATTTTTTTAGCTACAAGTGCTTTGATCATCTTTAAATGACTATAATTTTTCAATATTAGTTTTATAGAGAGAATAGGAAGATAATTCAGTCTCCCCTCTAACAAGTTGATCAAATTTTGTACTTTATTATTCACAGTTTGGAAAGGTGTCTTTCAGCCTTGTAATTTGTCATCGGTAGTGCCATGTGAATTTTCGGGATTGCTATTACCTTTGCAAAAACCTCTTTCGAATATCTTTCATATATGAGCTATGAGATTTTCAGGGCATTTCAATTTTTCTATTATAGCGACAAATCTAAAATGCTCTTTGAATTTATGAAACTTACTAACCAGATTGTCATCGATGTCCTCATTGTAGTGGCGTATAATGAGTTTTATGTTATCTCCATCAATGTCGGTATTTCCTGTCAAATCAGCAAGACATTTAAACATGGGGATTCTGATAAATTCTGTGTCAGTAATTCCCATCAAAAAAGAAACAAGATGAATAGTGCATTTGTAATTGTATTACTTTGCATGATTGAGTATATTCTTGACAAGAGAGAACTTTCACTTTGACGAGGCAGTGATGAGAATCCTCTGCTTATGACTTCACACACCTGATGACTGGAGGAATTTCCTACCAAGCAGCTTCTGGATCCATTCATTTTAGAACCTTTGTTTCTCTTTCCCATCCACTTCCAGGGCTGGGCATGGCAGGACACAAGCATGCACCACCCCACACTGCAGGTTCCCCTCTGCTCCACACAGAAACCATCTGTACAGTGGGTGTCAGGAGTGGTCCTTGAAGCCTTTCCTACACTTGCCAGCTAGCGACTCGTGAATTACAGAGAGGTGACTACACACCCTGTGAACGCATCTGACTGAACCCATACCAAACACACGCACAACTCAACTGCCACGTACTAGTCTCCAAAGTGCCACTCCAATGGCACATAAAACAAGAGAGATAGGATGGGAGAGATCAGTGATGAAAGAAATGGTATTATGAACAGATTATGGTTAAAATAATCTCACTTTCACCAACTACATAAAAACAGAATGACCTTGTAAACACATTGTGCTGATAAGTTGAAGCGGCATTAGCATGATAGGACATGCACGAGGCAGATGAGGGAGGGAGAACCCTAAACCAGAGCTGTCAGGGAATCAGCTATGCATTTGGAGGACAGAAATGGCCGGAACCACAAACAGCCAAAAATGGACAAAGAAATTGAAGTGGGATTTTGTATGGTGCAGACTTAAAAAGCAGACAGGCAGGTGATTAAGCTGGGCTGGGAAGGGCCAGGAAGGCAGAAGGTAGAATTTGAGCTGGATATGATCAAGATGACCGAGGAAGCATTCTCATGTATCCATGTGATGTGTTTGTGCATACACATGTTCATGCACACTTACATGAGATACACTCTCTGGGTACACGTGTGCCTCACTATAAGCCTATGTCGTATGCTCATGTGAGTGGGGAGGAATTAAAGATGAGCATGAAGTCTGCAGGGGAAGTGGCCTTGAATCATGGTGGTCATAAGTCTGACAGATGATGCTGAGACCCAAAAAGTGAGACAACTCACCCAGGGTTCCACATTTAGCCAGTGATGGAACTCAAGCTATCCCCAGGCCTCCAGGATGCTCTCCCCCACGGATAAAAGTTCCTACCCACCTACAGCCTCTAGCTGCTCTCCAGGGCTGCAGCAGTGTGCCCTGACCCTCATCTCCCCAGGTAGAGCGCCCTTCCAGGACAGGAAGAAATGCCAGTGAATGTGATGGCCCTCTACCTCCTCCTCCTAAGGGGTCACTCTGCTGTTATAAATCATCCCAGCCAGCCCTGACTCTTGCCTTGCCCTTTTGCCCTAGCTCTTCAGCTCCAGCTCTGTCCCCATGCAAAGTCACAAGGCACCAGAGTGTCAAGTAGAGGATGAGTTAAGGAAAGATGTGGGTTTTGCTTCAATGACAGAGCACTGCTCCTTAAGGAAACAAAGCAGGGGTGGGTCACCTCTGTTGCAGAAGTAAGAACTTTAGATGGTTTACCCACTTTTTCAGGGAAGGAAATAATGTGGAATAACCTAATATCAGTTCAAATAACAAAACAAGGAATAGTCATAGTAACTTTGAATTTCCTACCCTGTGCTGGGGTCTCAGCAGTCCCAACTCCATACTGTCACTTCTCTGATCACCCATTCTACAGACAGGGAAACTGACATTTGATGAATTTAGAGAGTTTTCCCAAGGGACACAACTAGAAGTAGCAGGCCCAGGTTTTAAATTCAAATAGTCTGACTTCAGAGTATGTGTTCTTAACCATCATGATACACTGTGTTCATGGAAGAAAATAGAATAATCCTCCCATATGCACAGAAACTTAGCCAGATCCCCTAAAACTTGGGAACACTTAAAAATCCTCTAAATAGAAAAGTAATGGCTACTCTTTCCCTACTGTTACCCCAACATGTGTACACACACACACACACACACACACCACATCCATGTCACCACTCACCCCAGCCTCCTTGCCAGACTTCTTTCCTTGTGACTGTCCCTCCTCCCCCAGTTAATGCATCATCCAGCAGTTTGCTGATCTCTGATTCTTGTTCAATCTCCGCCTCGACCTGAGTGTATTACTTCAGTGTATTAAAAAATGAATCCTGGAGGTGGGAAGATTCTCTCTTCACTAACTGGTAACTGCAGGGCAGCTTGGCTTGAGAATGCTTCTAGCTTTTCCCAGGTCAGGTTCATGAGACGTGTTGGTGAGGGCTAGAAGCTGGGAAGATTTCAAAGTATGTTTATTGTCTGTCTGTGTGACATGCTTTCAAGTGGCAACCAGTGTTGCAGTCTTATCTGGTCAATGGGAGTCTGGTGACTTATTGGAGCTGAGGATTTGAGGCGATCTAGAAGGGACTCACTCCCCTGTACCACCAACACGGAGAGAAAGGGCCAAAGAATCACCCTGCACAGATGAGGGGACCAGCTCTGAATTTTCTCCTTAACTCTTGCCACTGGAACGATCCACTTGCTCCTGCAGAGAATTCAGGCCATGTCTCCCTCTCAGGCTGAACTCATAAATCCCCATCTGTGGGAACAGCCCCCCCTCCTCTTTCCAAGCAGAGATAGACAGAGATGCTGGCCCAGACACAGAGTGTGGAAACTTCCACTGGCCTGTATTTGACCCCTCTGCCTCCAAGTTTTTGCATCTTAAAGGGACCCTGACTGATAGAGAGCAAGCTAGCTTGGCAGCTCAACCAACTGCTCATTTCCAGCTGGTATCCTTGAACAGAGGGAAGCATCTCCGTTTCGTTCAATACCTGGAATGCCTTCAAAACCCGAAAAGAGTCAGAGTGCTCCTTAAATTCTGAAGAGTTGAGGTTATCTTTGCCCTATTTTTAAAAAAAGCTGACCTATGTCAGGGACTAGCCAGGCGAGTGTGGGGCACTCTGGAGTGTGAGGGAGGCAGAATTCCTGTCGCTAGACTCCTGCCTGGAGCAAGCCACCCGCCCCTGGGCCTCCACCAGGGGTGGAGTTATTGGGTTCAAAATCGAAATGGTCAGTGACCTCAAGATGGGCCCTAAAGAAAAGCCTGCTTCACAGGCAAGTGTGGGTAATTCCATGAATAACACACCCAACTCTGGATAAGACCACAAAAATGTGAAGAAAGGCAGCCATGGTCTCTCACAGACCACCTCAGGGTCCTATGTCAGAAGAGGGACCATCGGCTGCACCTGACTATTCTTTCTCAAGTTCTTAAACTCAATTCCCTGCAATCAAATCAGCCAAGTGTTGAGTTATCCTTGTCCCTGCATCCAGCCACCATGGAGGAGCCCAGCTTCCAATGCTGAGACGCTGGGGAACTAGACACTCAAACAGGCAGCAGCGATATTCTGATCCTGATGAGCAGCCCCTTTTCTGTGTCTTGCTAAGAGAGTCTTCGTGTCCACTACGTCCTCATGCCTCACCAGCTCTGCCTCAGGAGCTCTGTGGCCTGTGGCCTCTGGCCTGTAAGACTGTGTAACAGTCAGCAATAGGGCATACACAATGTGTCACTACCTGTGACTGGCTCTCTGGCTGGCCCCTGTGGCACTTCTACCCCAGAAGCAGGAGACTAGTCTGGCTGGAGGGGAAGGGTAGTCCTCAGTGTGGCTGGCTAAGTATCTTTGGGCCTCCCCACACAGGGCACATGGTCTGACTTCATTTCCTGTTCATCAATGATAGGCAGAGCCACAGGAGTGGTTCTGGCCAATGTTTGTGAGCAAAGCATCAGGTCATGTCCAAGCTGGAGCATCTAATTGCCAAAGCAAGACCTGGGGAAGCATCCTTTTCTCTTTGGTATGAGGACCAGCAATATTCAGGAAGGCAGTTCCTTTGTCAGCCTGAGTCCCTGAGTGAGAATGTAGAGCGGAGGCCAGCACCCACCAACCCCTAGACCACGACGAGTATTTAGTATGAGCAAGCACTAAACCTAGGTTGTTGGAATCCGCAGAGACTTGGGGGTCTGACTGCAGCATAGTCCACCCCACCTGAGGGAGGCTGGTGGGAGTCACCTGGGGCTAGGGAGAGCAGTGTGCTGAGTGCTGTGGGATTGGTAGCAAATGCTAAATGCAGTAAAAGAAGATGAGTTCATTGCAAGTGGCATGTCATGCTCTGAGGGCACTCCTAAGAGACTGAGGAGGGTTTAAATAAGCTTGATGGGAACAAGAAGAAGTACCCATTTTGCCCCATTTTCCCCCTAAATGTCAGGTGCTAATTCTAGCCCCAGTTGCTCTTCCAACATTTCACTTGTTAGGAGGACACCAGGCCTCAGTTACATCCCGCAAGACTCACCCCTTTCATCCCATTGCCCCTCAACACACAGTTTCAACCCTCTATTTATTTCTATCTTCACTCACCCTTACTTCCAGTCTGAGAAAATACAGACTGCACCCTCCTCCTGTCTAAATCCAATCCTTCTTCTCCACTGGTTCCATACCAAGAGCCTATAAATGCTCTCAAACCTCCCTAACTGAACTAAAAATTATCTCTTAACCTTGAACCAACCCCTTTACTCTGGTCTACATTATCAATTAATATACCAATTCTACTCTTCTCATTCCTTCGAATCCACTAGGAGCTTCCTCCTCACAAAATAAAATTCAAGATTTAGGGATCCAGTGCTATAAAAACCAACTCAGGGTGTATTTAATCTAGATTTCCTATCTCGTTCCTGGCCAGCAACAACCATCTCAGAACCATATATCTAGGAAATCAATATTCTATGAAATAGGGATTTCAAGGGGAAAGTTCACCCTGGCTGACTATATGTGGGTAATTAGGTAAGCAGTAGTGACAATGGGCCTGATTTACTATGAAATGCTCATGCCATTATGGTAAAATTATTTGGCTCATTAAACAATCTATCTGCCAAGAGTGCAGACACACACCAAAAACCCACTCCAAATGACAGAAGGATGGAAGGCAGGCGTCCTCGGGACACTTCCCAGCTATTTCTGACCAACTATGTGGCCTTGAGCTTGTCACATACTGTCTTCAAGCTTCTATTTGCTGCCTACTCACCTCTGACCTTTTTCTTGGGGGGGGGGGCGGGGGGGGGGCTAGGATCTGGCTGTGGCCCAGGCTAATCTGGAAGTCTGAAGTTCCTGGGCTCAAGTGAGTCTCCCTCCTCAGGCTCCAGAGTAGCACAGTAGTACCTGCTTCTACTCTGAGAATTTGACTAAGAGCCCAGCAATGACCTTTCAGATTGCAAAATTCTTTGACTTTTCTCTCTCTCTCTTTTTTTTTTTTTCTGTGCTAAATTGTAGAGTTGTCAAAAATGAAGAAAGAATTGGAACTGAATCAATTTGTTCCAGATAAGCAGGAAAAAAAGTATCTTTCATCCTGTAGCAAGTGTGTGTCATTGAGGGGGATCAGCTGGTGAGCGCTGATGTGGACCAGTCCGTGTGGTTAGTGTCCCTTAAGCGAAGGGAAATAGAAAGAGCACAGCCCTCTGTTCTCATCCCAGCCTCATCCCTTAGTAGTTGTGTGACTTTAAACATGTCACTTAACTACTTTAGCTCTAAAATTCTATGACATCTCACACGTTCTTGAAGACCCAGGCTGCAGACTCCTCAAACCCTCACCTTGAAATGAAGCTTTTCATGGTTTATCTGGTTGTCAACCCAAATGGTAAATCATGAGGCACCCTGCTCAAGGTCCAGCAGTGCTATGTGTGCTCAAATCCTAGGGTCTGGGAGTGACTCAAGAGTAAGAGCGTTTGAGAAAAGGCACAGCTTCTAGGCACCAAATCTGATGTTTTCTGGCACACAGTACATGAGTAACTTGGAAGCATAAAATTCTTAAAAAACATAGCCATCTCTTACATTTACAAAGCACAATAAGATGAAGTCCTCAAGCACTGTGACTTTCATCACCCTGGTTGATCCCCACAGGATTCATATTCTGGGTTCTTCCAGCTAGGGCCTGGGCAATACAGCAAGAACATGGATGCAGGCCAGGGCCTGGCCCACACACCTGCTCCTGGAGCACAATATAATACCTAACTTGATTGTGAAGCAAGAGCAGGGAGAGTGCTATGGGACTTAAAGCTATGAATAACATTTCCTTGTTTGCTGTGTTAAACAGATACAGAGGAACTGTGGCATTTGTTTGAACATAAGGAGACTAGGGTCTTTTTTATTGTTCTGGGTTGAATCCCAAGTCCGTAGGTGGCATTCACATAGCAGACACTCGGTAAATTGTGATGAGCAAATGAATGAATGCATATCCTATATGAATTTTTAAGCTAAAACTTGAGACTTTAGGAAAATGATATATTACTTACTACAAGTGTGTCACATTAGCTGTGTCACACTCTTCTGTGGCATTGAAGCACTTCCCAAAGACCCAAAGACGTATTCACTCCACTTTACAGGGGAGAAAGTAGAGAGTTCAAGGGAAATAAATAACATGCTCAAGGATACACAACCCATAAGGAGTAGAGACCAGACAGGACACATGCCCATGTGACAAACATTTATTTAATAAATTTTGTGGGATGGGTATTGGGTTGGTTGCACTTTGAAACACAATGGAGCCAAGAGGGTCTCTGCCCCATCTGGCTCTGCTCTTGCCTCTGGAAAGCTATCTGTTCCTGGGATCCTTCTCTCCAGCCATGACACTATGAAGCCTCCAGTTTTTCTCAGGCCCTGACAATAAGCCTGCCGTCCTTTGGCAAATCCAAGGATTTGTTGGTGGCTGCTTTGGGGCTGCAGAAGAGAGCATAAAAAATAAACATGAGATGGTTGTAATATTCTAAGAAATCAGACAATGTTTTTACAGTTAGGGTCTCTGGGCACCATGCAGAAGTCCTCAGAGGCTGCACCCTGAGTCCCACCATTAGTCCACTCAGGGGGCCCATAGCTTATGTTTCTCCTCTGGGTCCATATTTTGTAATATGGCAGCCAAGATCACACATGTCTGCCAGACTCTCCATCCTGCCAAGATCATGGCAATCACTCCATTATTTCAAAAGCCACCAGAAATCAGAGACAACCAACATCTGCCATACAGAAGCATTTCCGTACTGGGCAGAGCACAGTACAGGTCACTGGGGTAGTG